GGCTCTCTTCCCCTTCGGAACTTTGGGGCTGGGAGACTCTCCAGCCCTTGGCGGGGGGCGGGGGGAGGGCAAGGCCCGGAGACTGGGTCAGAACCGATAGGTGCCGCGCACCTGGATGCACGCGGTGAAGCCAAATCCCCGGTCCAGGCCTCCCCGCCGGCCTGCGAGGTTCAACCTCGCGGATTCGACTCTGCAACCCCCAGGGCTGCTTCAGCGTCGGATCTCAGATCAAAGTGTTTCTCAGTAGGTGAAGACGTTCACGATTCTGTTTCATTTCTGACTTTTAGGTTTCGTCTCCTCCCTCCGCAGAGAGTCAAACACGCGCGCACACACATACACGCGCACACACACTTGCACACGCATACACTCACACTTCTATTTAAGGTCCGCCCTCTCTTCTCACTTTCACGACTCCCCGCCCCGCCCCCATTCCTCTGTGGCTTCCCGGCCCTGTATCTTTTCCACTAAAACTTTTTAAAGGGAGAAAGGGGCATCGGTGGTTCTGGGATGGTCAACTGAGGTTTGGGCTGTGGGTGGAGGTTGCTTTCCCATTACAGATGAAATCACCTAAATGATTACACCGCTGCTCTAATTAGAAGGGAGCTTTACGAGAAGCCACCAGACCTGGGGTTCCCGAGGAGCTCACCTCTGTAGGAACCACACCTGGCCGGGAGGGAGGCGAGGGTCAGGAGCTCAGTCTCGGACCCCGCTGGCGCTGCAACTGCGCCAGCCCCAGTCCGGCAGCCACCAGCCCAGGGCTTGGGCCAGGGACTCCTGGGACAGGCCCAGTTACTCTGCCAGGCTGCCGTCACGGGCACTGCGAGAGGAACAAAGAACCGGTTTCAGATCATCTTCTCTGACTCCTCAGGCAAATGTGTGCAGAAGGCCAGCTCCACGCTGAGGAGTGGAGACTTGTCCCCGCACCAAATCTTCCCCTTTCTAATCCCACGCAAGAGCCTCTATCCCTGGTGGCCGGCCCAGATGGCCTTGCACCCTCCCAGCCTTCTCAGGGGTGGTGTGGTGGTGTCTCTCGGAGTTCCTGTGTCGCCTAGGCATATTAATCGTGCCTGGGCTGTGGGACTCTTGTGCCGGTGCCGATTCTCTGGTTGATTGGAAACTTTCTTGGACCTGCCTTAGAACCGTGCTCAACAAGTGTGGGTTTTGTTTGCAGGTGTTTTGTTTTGTTTTGTATTTTTCCTTGCGAATTTTAAATACCTTAAATTATGGCGTTTTTAACCCATTACTGCCTATATTTAACTTCTCCGGCTTTTTCTAGCTCTCGAAATAGTTTGGGGGAAGCCGAGTTCTCCAGAGCGCCGGACACACGCGTAGGACCCGCCTGTAGCTCTGCGAGACTCCGGCGGGAGGTGCTGTGCTGCCTTAGAAACGAGCGCGGTTTCAGACCCCGGCAGCCTGGCTTCTCCCTCTTACGGGTACGAGAGCCGGAGGGACCTGGGACCCGGCTGGCTGGGCCAGGCCCTACCCGGGAAGGACCGGAGGGCTGGTACTGGGGCCGGGGTGGGGCGAGAAGAGTGCCAACTCCAACTTCGGTACTTTTTCGGGGGAGAGGGGAGGCAAAGCCGCTAGTGTGCTTAGGTGCGAACCCAAGCCGCTGTGCAGGGTTACATGGACGTGGACAGGACGACTTGGAAGTGAAGCAGCCCAGGCCTTGGGCCTGAGGGCCACTGGTGGCCGCTCAGATGCCGGGCGCGGGGACCAGAGTGGCGGCAGGGGAGAGAAGCGGGGAGGGACGCGAGGACTCCGGGAGCGGCCGGGAGCGAGAATCTAGCTCTGGAGTACGACCACTTGGGGTCCAAACTCAGCTTAGTCGTTGACATTTACCAGATGAGTGATCTAGGGCAAGTGACTGAACTCGTCTGAACGTCAGTTGGCTCCCTTGTAAAACGGGGAATTTGTTGTGAGACTTGGCCAGGAGAACGGACGCAAAGCGCTCAGCACGGCACGCGCGTGGTGCGCCGAGGCCGCGGAGCCTGCCCAGGGACGTGCTGCCCCGCTCCAGTCCCCCGCTCAGAGCACCCGAGACCGGTTCACGTCTAGCTCGTGTCAACGCCATCGCTGCTTCCCTTTTTGCATCGCAGCCGGACGCTGTGGCTCAGGGCGCCTCCTGCGACTGCCTCCTCGCAACCCCTGTCTTCCCGAGTGTGCGCCCTCCCCCTTGCTCCACAGACACCTGCTTCGCCCCGCGGGGCCTTTCTCCACCTCGACCTCCTCCGTAGCTCCGAACCTCGATCCTGCCGCCTCCAGGAAGGAGCCCTGGGGGGCGAAGAGATGGAGGGGACCCCTCACAGCTTCATCCAGCGCCCAGGCTCCAGTCAGCCTCCCCAATGTGCCAGCTGCGCCCAGTGCCAGGGCAGGCCCACGGCCACTAACTGCTCTGGGCGACTGTCGCAGCACCCAAGCAGTCTCCAGAACTTCGGCCTCAGGCCTCTTGCAAATCAGGGAAAACTTTGCCTTTCATCTCTCTCTTGCTCTCTCCTTTTTTTTTTTACCGGGCCCCTTCCCCCTCCCGGCGCTGCTACCACAGAGCAGGTTCCGTAGCGAACAGGTCCTGGGACTCTCTCAGCCCAATCTCAAAACTTTTTGTAAGTTGCTCAGTGCAGGCGCCCTGAGCTTCAGGAAGGAGTGGCATGACTTGGTGTCAGGTTGCAGAGAGCTCCCGGCTTCAGATAATGCTGAGCTCAGGTTTTCTGAGGCCCCTGGTGTCCCGGGATAGCTGGCTGGAATCTTCTTTACCCGTAAACCCCCGCTCCCAACTCCATCACCCCCAAAGTTGCACCGGGAACAATCTTTCCCTCAGGGCAAAAGCTCTGCTGGAGGTGCATTCACTCCACCCCAGAACCTCCAGGAATCTTCCCATCTTTTCATTCAAGTGCCAAACCCCCAGGGCCCCACTTGAGGCTCCTTAAGGGATTTGGAAATCTAGACCTGAGCAGTGGGTTAACTCGGAAGTTCAGGCCTTCGGTGGCCGGCTTCGCCTTCCCCTTAGAGGAGTCGGAATTACTGGGAAATAATGAGCGACCACCTGCTGTGCCTAGCACCTCTCCTCCTGCAGAGGCTCACCTTCCACGCCCGTTGGGCCTGAGAGAGCCTAAGTCAACGTGGGGTCTTTCCTGGGTCCCTCCGGGGGTAAACTGGCACCCAGGCTGAACAGGGAAGAAGAGGGCTGGACCACTCAGGGGAAAAGTTTGAGGGGAATTGAGCTGCGTCCTGCCGCGCCAAGACCTGAGGCCTTCACCTTGAGCGATTCCTCCCTCCAGCTCACAAAAGCCCCCTCAAACCTCCAGTTGGACTAGGGCAAAGGAATAACGTTACCAGTAACCACAGAAGAAAGAAGCCAAACCTCTTACCATAGGTGCCAGGGAGAGGGCAGAGAAGGGCGGCCCCGCGAGCTGACGTGCGCCCACCACGGCCCCTCCAGGCACACACTTGCAGCTGGGAGTTCTTGGAGCAGTGGGTACAGCAGGCCTGGGATGTACTGCAAGCCCGGCGGCCCAGAGGCCGAAAACCGAGACGGCCTGGAGGCCAGAGTATCGCGCGGCGCGCCCCCGCTCAGCGCGGCCCGGGTCCCTCCCGGACCCAGGCGACAGGTGCAGCCGGGGCCCCCGCCGCCCGCTGCGCCAGGGCTGCCGCCGCGCACTGGTGCGGAACCACTATCGGAACGAGTTTGCGCTTCTGTTTACAAAGCAATCCTGCCATCAAAAGAGGAACAAAATCACCACTTATCACACCCTGTCATAAAGTAATCTGCCCCGCAGGGAAACCCCAGCGAGGAAGCGCGCGAAGTGTGTGTGTGTGTGTGTGTGTGTGTGTGTGTGTGTCTGTGTGTGTGTGTGTGTGTGTTCGCGCGGGGGAGGGGGGCGAAAGCGGGGGGGCGGAGCGCGCAAAGGAAAGGGGAGCTCTCCCAACTCTTTTCCAGGGAAAATCGCTTGGACACGCCGTGACCCTCCAGGCCAGGGACGCAGAGGGTAGTCCGCACGCTGGCGCGGCGGTGTGACAGGGGAAGCCCGTGCTGGGACTGCGCCCGGCAGAGCGCCGAATCGCCCTCTGGACTCTGTGGAATCCGCGCATCTGCAGCTCCTCCACTCCAATATCTACTTTCCTGGTGTCTTCCAAGACCCTCCAAAGCAACGGCCCCCAGCACGGCCACAGACGGGCAAAGAGGGAAAAGAGTGCATTCTGGGAAACTCCAGGGTCCCTTTTGATCTCTTTCTCCCACAGGGGGACTGCTCGGCCCAAAGGATAGTCTCCCGGAGTTCCTGACTAGCGGGGGGAGGATTCTGCTCCCCTTACCCCCCATGTGACCCCCGTGCACTTGCTTCTGGATGGGGGGAGGGTTAAGTACCCGCCAAGTGGCCAGGAAAGGCAGAAGTCTTGGGAAGTTATAATCCCTGTGAGGACCCGGTCTCTTGGGTTATTATCTCCATCCCTGTCCTGGTTGGTCTAGAATGAGGTGAGAAACGCTCCAGGCGGGCAAACCCATTCACAGCGGGGTGCCTCTGGGGGGATCCTCTGGGGCACGGGTGCCTCTGCCTCTCGCGTGGCCCTTCTGAAGGGTGAAGAGAACGCGCTTTCCCACCCTCATCCCCACCCTTCAGTCTTGGTATCAGTAACTCAACACAGTATGGCCGGAGTTTGGGTTCGCGCAAGAGCGATCCTGAACACCCAATACCACGCCCACTCACTCCTACTCTTCCAGCCAGAGGTCAGTGAGATTTCCTCACAGCCAATATTAACGGGGCAGGTCAGCATTTGGCCAGTTTGGATGCAGTGCCTATGACCCAGCCTGGATTTGGGACTCTCATTCTCCATAGGTCCAGACTGAGAAGTCTGTCATCACTAACCCTGAGAGATCTCTCTGGCTCCTCATGGGAGATCCTGAGCCCCGGTGGCTGAAGGGGCTTCCGTACAGTGCAGGCAGAATTATCAATGTTACATTATCATTGCGTCCTTAAGGCCTTGGGGAGAATTGTTTCATCCTTTATAATTCCTGTATGGTTGATAAAAGAGGACATTCAACATCGTGCTTGTGTCAGTGGCAAAACATCTGTAAGGCAAAGGCTTTTCCTTTCCAAAGACTGGGGAGCTAGCTCCAAAGCCAGCAAGGTCACCAAGAGCAGGCTGGGAGAAGGTCCCTGTCCCCTCTCCCCCCACAAAAGTTGTCTGGGGCAATGGATGATTTAAGGCAGTACTGTTCGAACTTTGCTGTATGTTAGAATCACCTCAAGAGTTTTAAAATCCTGATACCCAAGTGGCACCCAAATCAGTTGAATCAGAACTTCTGAGGGTAGGACCCAAGCATAAATATTTTTTTAAGTATTCCAGGGGATTGCACTGTGCAGTCAAATTTGAGAGCCAATGGCTTAGGCAGTGGCTCTCAAAGTGCCGTCCAGGGACCAGCAAGGTCAGCATCACCTAGGAACTTACTAGAAAGGCAAATTGTCAGGCGTCACTTTAGCTCTGCTGAAAACTGTGAGGGTTGGGGCCCAGCCAGGAGCACAGTAGCTTCCAACGATGCTCGTGCACGCTCAAACTTGAGAACTACTGGCCTAGGGAAGTGTGTGCCTCTACCTGAGGCAGAGCTCAGGGCCTGACTTTCCAATCTGCAGCCATCCTTCATCTTCGGCCTTGTGAAGGACTTGAGACCCCACCTTTAGCTGTCCGGTCTTCGGGAAAACAGGGCGTGTCTCAGTCCTAGGTATGGTGAGGGGTAAATCTCTCAAGCAACTTGCATTAGAATTCACCAACTTGAAAACAAGTTCAACGACGCCGCTAAACAAGAGCCTACGAGACAGCGTTCCCCCGCCTCTCTCGGCTGGCGTCTGCTGTTTCCGCCGGTTACAGGTTTAGAACCACACCTGGGTTTTTCTTGGGGTCAGATGGGACTCTGAGCTCTGGGCTTCCTCTTCTTCCCGAGTCTTCCCTCGCCCAGCCCTTCTCTCCCCGCTTCCAACTCCTCGAACCCTACTTGGCGTGTCAGTCTCACTCGCTCAGGCCACGTGCGAGTCCTGTGAATCTCAAGTCCGAAAACCGCGAATCCTGCAGTCGCCGCCGACTTCTTCCTGCGTCTGCGGAGGGACATCTCCGCCCTTCGCTCCCTCCTACCCCCAGACTCGTCGGGTTAAGTTTGCCGAGCAGGTGCGCGCTCCGTCGCAGCGCCCTTGGGCCTCCCCCAGCTTCCCCGAGGCCAAGTTCGCGGTAGCTGGACCCAAAGTGCGCCGAGCTGGCTGGGAGCGGCTCCCGGACGGTACTGGCTGCAGGCTCGCATCCCGGCGAGCGCGCCCGGCCCTCGGGGCTTCACCCTCAGCTGTCCCTCGGGCCATGACATCTAGAGGAGGGTGTGTGCCCGGGTGGGGCCTGGTCACCCTTCCGGCTACATACAAGTGGCCTTTCTTGGAAACACATCTGGGCAAACAGGTGGGCGGCGCGAGGGGACGCGCGGTGGCCGCTGGCGAGCCGCGCGCTCAGGATCGCAACGCCGCCGCCGCCCCTCCGCGCGGCCGCCCGGGTGAGCTCCCAGGTCCGGGGATGAGGGGCGCCCGGCCGGCAGGACGGTCCCCGCGACGCACGGCCCTCAGTCGGGAGGGCCCTCTGGCGCCAAATCCAGGCGAGCCAGGGGCGGGGAGCCGACGGGGCTCATCCCCACTCAGAATTTAGCGGCCGGTGGAGACAGAGAGTCTCCTCAGCTGATGCAAGTCTCCTACAAGTCTGGGAACGGAGCCTCGAACTTTCTGCCGTGCAGAGTCGGGCAGCGGCGAGGGCTCAGTCCCGGTTCCCTTCGTGCAGGTCCTTCAAGTTCGCCCCATCGCCCGCTGCCCGGAGCGGTCCCGGGTCTTGGATCGACTCAGACGAGGCTCCGTTTACTTTCAGTTTGTCTTAGTTGCCTATTGGCGGAACAGGCTGAAATGCGTGCTCTGAGATTTTCTCCAGGATCTGTCAGTTTAATTTAGAAATACTGTACGAGGTAAGGCCTTCCTTTAAAAAGTGGAGACACTCGCTTTGCCTTTTCCCGAAGGAAGCTCCCGAAGATGCGCTCCACGGGACCCGCAGACACCAAACTCCACTGCTTTTTCACGCGACCACAGACTTTAAAAGAGCAAACGTCGGTTGCCATTAAAACCTGCCAGACTTCCGTGTCTTAAAGTCTTGTGATTTCTTAATAATGCAGCCTCACCGCTTTTGCACATGATGCTGAGAGGCTGGCACTGCATGAAAGTGCTCTGCTGTGAGCGTTTTGAAGCTGTGCAAGACTTTTTATCAAGTATCTCAAAATAACAGGCCAGCCTCCTCCGGATTTCCAATTACATACTCAACAGTCAAAGGTGCAGGTATCTTTCTTCTTGAGTCTAGCGAGGTGTTTGGTTTTGGTTTTTTTGGTTTTTTTGAAATCATTATTTTTTCAAAATAAAACAATACTTAACATGGCTCTGGAATCTTGGAGAGGCATTGTTCAAATGGCATTGTGTTTTTCTGTACTCCTTTCAACATTGCAAGTTGCATTCGAAATTTAAGTTGACAATTTAAAACAAGGCCAGGTCAAATATATAAGTTTTTTCTAAAAAATGGACGTGGTACATTTCATCTGTTTTCAAACTCAAAATGTATTCTTTCTGAATCTTACAGCATAAATTGTATGAACAGCCTTTCTAATTAGACCATTTCAGTCCCAACATTGTGGATATGAAAATTATAGAATTTTTCTCTGAAGGGTGGTGCTGAGAAGAATGAAAAGGAAGTTTTCCCTTGAGAAGTGATTGAAAACAAACGCCAGAACCTGACAATTTATACACACAGTTCTGTTTCTGACCTGACTCTTCCTTTTGAGAATTACCAGTTAAAATACCAAAGTTACAGGGTATTAAGTTAACTGTGGTCTTTGGTTTAAATATTTTATTTCTAATTTTGAAAAACTGGTTTTCATTTGCCTCAGGAACTTCTAAAGGTGAAGTTGTCGAGACACTTAGTTGAACAAAGACTCAGATGATAATAGCATTTGACTGCTTTTAATTTCCAGTTATCTTAATTTTTTTTTAATTTAAAAACTACAGCTTGAATGATCCTCTCAAGTGTACTGAATAAAGGAGAAATATCTAAAGACTGTCCAAATACATATTCTTCTCTTTTCATTGTTGGAGCAGAAATTCTAGCAACCATTGTATAAAATCCATGTTAAGCAAAATATGTAAAAAATACATATCCATTTTACATTATTGCATTCAAATATTTATAGCAAAAAAACCCCCAGGATATTGACAAGATTTTAAATACTTTTTTTTCTTTTTCTTTTTCTACTAGAAAGAGAAGATCACAAAGCAAAAGTTCTTCAAACAATAGGATTTCCTGGCCTTGGCAGTTCTGGTGTGTCCCAGTGCCAGCACTAGATAGAGAAAATCTGACTTGTGATATTCAAGGGCAGCCAGACTCAAACCTCCCAAAGAGAGAAAACTCAGTATCTTTGCACAGCTATATACTGAGAAAGAAACAATCAGAATCACAGAATTTTAGAGCTTAGCGCTCTCACCATAATGCTCTTCACCACAAATGTAGTCTTCTGAGCCCAGTACAGGTGTGTATACTGAGGCCAGCACCATTCAGCTTGTTAACGGCCAAAGGGGTCAGAAGAGCTAGGTGACCAGGCTGGAGATCTTCTCTTCATCACATCTGTTCCCTACTAACTTAGTCCTTGACACTGTGTCCTGTTTGTGCTCAGGATTAAAGGCCTGATTTAAGATACCTTTTTGACTAAATCTTTGTAAACTCAAGCATCCAATCTGCTTTAAAGGGGTTGGGATTAAATATGACCTTTGTGTCCATTGTTAAGTGCAGATGGGAAACAACCAGTGTTGATAGAAATGACCTCCAAAGCCTTGATTCTGGAAGATGTTGAAGAAATAGCTCTTGAGTCTAATGTTGACTTTTCATTGGTGACTCTTTCCCAT